ACACACACACATAGACACACACACACACACTGACAGCGGTGTGAGGTGTGTGTGTGAAGCGTCGCACGTGTTTCGCTCGTCTTAAGATAAACAACAGAAACAGAAGCAGCTATAAAACTCGTCGGAGCCTTGAGCCGAGAGCTCGACTCATAAACACGATCAACAACACATGTTTGATCAGAACGAATCTGACGCCACAACACGCTGACCTCATCCTCCACCACCAACACACGCCTTCAAAATAAAACTAAACATGAGAGCACCAAAACACACGCCTTCAAAATAAAACTAAACATGAGAACACCAAAACAACTACCACTTCAAAATAAAACTAAACATGAGAACACCAAAACACACGCCTTCAAAATAAAACTAAACATGAGAACACCAAAACAAACACATGCCTTCAAAATAAAACTAAACATGAGAGCACCAAAACACACAACATGCCTTCAAAATAATAAAACTAAACATGAGAGCACCAAAAACACACGCCTTCAAAATAAAACTAAACATTTCAAAATAAAACTAAACATGAGAACATTCAAAAACAACACAAAACACACGCCTTCAAAATAAAACTAAAACATGAGAACAAAATGAGAACACCAAAAACACACGCCTTCAAAATAAAAACTAAACATGAGAACACCAAAACACAAAATAAAACTAAACAACAAACAAACATGAGAGCACCAAAATAAAATAAAACTAAACATCCATCCATCCATTTTCGTCGGGGCCGGGTCGCGGGGCAGCAGTCTAAGCAGGGACTCCCAGACTTCCTTCACCCCCAGACACGTCCTCCAGCTCCTCCAGGGGGAACCCCAGGTGTTCCCAGGCCAGTCCAGAGACATAGTCCCTCCAGTGTGTCCTGGGTCTTCCCCGGGGCCTCCTCCCGGTGGGACATGCCCGGAACACCTCCCGAGGGAGACGCCCAGGAGGCATCCGGAACAGATGCCCGAGCCTCAACTGGCTCCTCTCCACGTGGAGGAGCAGCGGCTCTACTCCGAGCTCCTCCCGTGTGACTGAGCTCCTCACCCTGTCTCTAAGGGAGCGCCCAGCCACCCTGCGGAGGAAACTCATTTCGAGCGCTTGTATCTGTGATCTCGTCCTTTTCGGTCACTACCCAGAGCTTGACAGACATAGGTGAGAGTAGGAACGAAGACTGACCGGTAAATCGAGAGCTTCACCTTTCGACTCAGCTCCTCTTCACCACAACGACCGATACAGCGACCGCATCACTGCCGAAGCTGCACCGATCCGCCTGTCAATCTCACGTTCCGTCCTTCCCTCACTCGTGAACAAGACCCCGAGATACTTGAACTCCTCCACTTGAGGCAAAGACTCCCACCCACCCGGAGAGGGCAAGCCACCTTTTTCCGGTCGAGAACCATGGCCTCAGACTTAGAAGAGCTGATCCTTCATCCCAGCCGCTTCACACTCGGCTGCAAACCGCCCCAGTGCTGCAGGTCCTGGTTCGATGAAGCCAACAGGACAACATCATCCGCAAACAGCAGAGATGAAATCCTGTGGTCCCCAAACCGGACCCCCTCCGGCCCCTGACTGCGCCTAGAAATTCTGTCCATAAATACAATGAACAGAACCGGTGACAAAGGGCAGCCCTGGCGGAGTCCAACATGCACCGGGAACAGGTCTGACTTACTGCCGGCAATGCGAACACAGCTCCTGCTCCGGTCATACAGGGACCGGACAGCCCTTAGCAAAGGGCCCCGGACCCCAGACTCCCAGAGCACCCCCCAGGACACCACGAGGGACACGGTCGAATGCCTTCTCCAGATCCACAAAACACATGTGGACTGGTTGGGCAAACTCCCATGAACCTCGAGCACCGATGGAGAGTGTAGAGCTGGTCCAGTGTTCCACGACCAGGACGAAAACCACACTGCTCCTCCTGAATCCGAGGTTCGACTATCGGCCGGATTCTCCTCTCCAGTCCCTGGCATAGACCTTACCGGGAAGGCTGAGAAGTGTGATCCCCTATAGTTGGAACACACCCTCCGGTCCCCCTTCTTATACAGAGGGACCACCACCCCGGTTTGCCAGTCCAGAGGTACTGTCCCCGACCGCCACGCGATGTTGAAGAGGCGTGTCAGCCAAGACCCACAACATCCAGAGACTTAAGGTACTCAGGACGGATCTCATCCAACCCCGGAGCCTTGCCACCAAGGAGCTTGCCAACCACCTCAGTGACTTCAGCCAGGGTGATGGATGAGTCCGCCTCCGAGTCCCCAGCCTCGGCCTCCTCCTCGGAGGACGTGACGGTGGGATTGAGGAGATCCTCAAAGTATTCCTTCCACCGCCGGACAACGTCCCCAGTCGAGGTCAGCAGCTCTCCCCCCGCACTGTAAACAGTGTTGGTGAAGAACTGCTTCCCCCTCCTGAGGCGCCGGACGGTTTGCCAGAATCTCTTTGAGGCGTCCGATAGTCCTTCTCCATGGCCTCCCCCGAACTCCTCCCAGCTCCGAGTTTTTGCCTCCGCGACCACACGGGCTGCAGCACGCTTGGCCCGCCGGTACCTGTCAGCTGCTTCAGGAGTCCCCCGAGCCAGCAAGGCCCGATAGGACTCCTTCTTCAGCTTGACAGCATCCCTTACTTCCGGTGTCCACCACCGGGTTCTGGGGTTGCCGCCGCGACAGGCACCACAGACCTTACGCCCACAGCTCCGAGCAGCTGCATTGACAATAGAGGCCCGAGAATGAAGCCCACTCGGACTCCATATCTCCAGCCTC